GGAATCGGACACTGATTGCCAGACCAGTCTTAGGCAAACACAAGAAGGTCCTAGTCTTTGATCCCAGTTATCTGCTTTATTTGCTCCAAATATTTGATGACTCCTAGGGAAAAGAGGGCAACTGCAGCCACACAAACGTGTTTATAACCACAGCATCTGTGGCTTTTGTGGCAGTGTTCTGAAAGGTTCCTGAGATTTTCTTCCTCAGAGTGAGTTACTTCAATGATGGTGGGGACGGCTTTAGGTGCCCAGTCAGTGACCTCTGTACAGTAGAACAGAAACGTCCAGTCGGTCGCCATCCTCACAATAGTGGCTCCATTTGAGCTCCTGGTCGATGGTAGAGGTGGGTCTTAACCCAGAGTCATGGAGTCACTTCGGACTCAGCAACATGAGCCGGGACTGTGTCCTAGGGCTTAGGATGCTTTTGTGAATCATTATAGAAACTGACTTTCTCATTTTTCTCCCGAAGATCAATTGATGAGTCCGAACTACCCACCTTTCTGTTAGCAGCCCAGCGCTTAACCCACTTTGCTACCATGGCTTGTGGTTTGAGCCAAGGAGGTTGAAGGGATAGAGGGTGCTCAGTGGATGAATGTGGTGCATCCAGGAGGGCCTTGAATGCTCCAGACCTTGGGTTGCCAGTGAACATTCACTGGCGTTTGCTGTGTGATCAACTCTGGGGCAGGGGCTGGAAGCCAACCCTGTGTGCATGGCTTACCCTCTGTGTTCCTTTCCCCCAGTACCATGCAGAAACCATCAAGAACGTGCGTGTGGCCACGGAAAGCTTTGCTTCTGACCCCATTCTTTACCGGCCAGTTGCTGTGGCCCTGGACACTAAGGGACCTGAGATCCGAACTGGGCTCATCAAGGGTGTAAGTATCTATCCTGGTGAGAAGTGTGAAGGAAGGGACAGGAGGCCATGGGCCCAGGACAGATCTCCCCTCAAGAGTTCAGGTCCACTCATGAGGGGGGAGGGAGTGTTTCTGTGTTTGCTGGTGGAGTCTGACTTGGGCAGGCGACACTCACAGCTTACTCTCTGGCCGACAGAGCGGCACAGCTGAGGTGGAGCTGAAGAAGGGAGCCACTCTGAAGATCGTTCTGGATAACGCATACATGGACAAGTGTGATGAGAATGTGCTGTGGCTGGACTATAAGAACATTTGCAAAGTGGTGAATGTGGGCAGCAAGATCTATGTGGACGACGGGCTTATTTCTCTGCAGGTGAAGGAGAAAGGTAGGTAGGTCTGAGAGTCAGGGTCTAGTTGAGAACCATCTCCTGTCCCTAAAACTCAAAAGAAAATTAGAGATTTGGTTGACACTGAGACTGGGTTTAAATCCTCGCGGCAACTCCTCACTCCTCCTTGTCTTCCAAGCCAGACGTCCTTCCTTGCTTCATTCCACAAGGATTGCTCCTTCACTCTTCCTCACTCCTTTTGGGGCCTCTGCTTCCGTTCCTCAGTTCCTCAGTGTGACGTGGACTGACTTCAGCGTGGCAGAGATGACGCACGCACGCACGAGTGGGCAGTAGGGTTCCCCTCGTTGTAGTTGAAGAAGCTGAGACGAAGTGTCGCACACTTGCCCAGTGTTACACAGCGGGACTTGACCTTTAGATCCAGGGCCCACAACATGTGAGCCCCCAGTTCCCTGTACTGGGGCGAGAGGCAACTGTTTCTTGGTGGCTGCTGTCCTATTTCGTGGCCCTTGTTTCTCTCACCTGTCTGCTTTTCACACAGGTGCGGACTTCCTGGTGACAGAGGTGGAAAATGGGGGCTCCCTGGGCAGCAAGAAGGGCGTGAACCTTCCCGGGGCTGCCGTGGACCTGCCTGCAGTGTCCGAAAAGGACATCCAGGATCTGCAGTTCGGCGTGGAGCAGGACGTGGACATGGTGTTTGCGTCTTTTATCCGCAAAGCGGCCGATGTCCACGAGGTCAGGAAGGTCCTGGGAGAGAAAGGCAAGAACATCAAGATCATCAGCAAAATCGAGAATCACGAGGGAGTCAGAAGGTACGGCACCCTGCCAGAACACCACGGGAAAGCATGCTGTCCTCCAGCTCAGCTGAGCCACCTCCCAGTGGCTCACGCGGTGTGGCCAGAACACCACAACCAGCTTGATGTGACATCTGTTCCTTGGTGGCTTCTGCTTGAAATACAACGTGGCAGGCCTACGAAACTGGGTCAGCCCAACTCAAGCTGGTGGAAGGGGCCAGGGCCTTGGGGTGACCACTGTGACCACTCCACAGCTTGGCGTAGGCACCTCCCCCCTGCCGTCTTGATAAGCCATGGGTACTTTCTGACCGTGGCCTCAGGCCAAACAGTCACAAGTGCTCTTGGTGGGAGGGGGTCAGCTCAAGGAGAGTCCTTCATGGGCCCTTGGCTGGGACCCAGCAGACCTCCGGTTCCCCTTCTGCCTTGGACATACTGAATTGGGGTTGCTGTGGGGGGCCTCAAAGATGCAGGTAAAGAGCAAATGGGACCTATCCCCACCCCGTTCCTCACCACAGCCCCTCGGAAGAGACTGTAGCAGGGCTGGAGAAATCCTCAGGGCAGGACCCCTTTGGCTGCCTTTGACCCCTTTGGTCTGAGGAACTGTTCGTCATCGCCACTGGCTTGCACCTGTGCTAACCACCCCGGACAGCCATGGTGGGGACTTACTTGGTGTGAGAGCCTCCAAGCTTCTCCATCTTCACGACCCTTGACCCCAGTTCTTCCCCTGCTCTCCGGGCAGGTTTGATGAGATCCTGGAGGCCAGTGACGGGATCATGGTGGCCCGTGGCGACCTGGGCATCGAAATCCCCGCAGAGAAGGTCTTCCTCGCTCAGAAGATGATGATCGGGCGCTGCAACCGAGCTGGGAAGCCTGTCATCTGTGCCACGCAGGCATGTGCACCCCCCTCACGTGCGCTCTCCCCTCACAAAGCCCCCCACAAAGCCCCACTGTGTCTGCACTCCATCTGCTGGGGCGTCTCAGGGATTGCCCAGGCCAGTTCTCACAGGCGGTCTGTCCCCTCCCAGATGCTGGAGAGCATGATCAAGAAGCCCCGCCCCACCCGGGCTGAAGGCAGTGATGTAGCCAATGCTGTCCTGGATGGAGCTGACTGCATCATGCTGTCTGGGGAAACAGCCAAGGGGGACTACCCGCTGGAGGCCGTGCGCATGCAGCACCTGGTGAGTTCCCAGGGCTGCCCGCCGTAGGCAGGCTGCTGGCCGGAGAGGAGGGTGGCGGGTGGAAGCCGGAGGCACGCGCTGGCATTGAGGCTCACCCAGGCTTCCATCCCCTTAACAGCAGCCTCGCGCGCTGTCCTCACAGCTGCTGTGTCCGGGGTGGTTCTTGCCGCTCAGGAGGCTTCTCCCTGCAGTGGACGGACAGCACAGGGTTTGCTAGGGGTTTAACTTTCACTCTGGCTTCAGGGCGGTGGCTTGTTCCTCGGCTGAGTCCAGGGTTTCCTGTGCAGTTGTAGGTGGCGCTACCGCGTCCCCATCTGCCACCGCCCCTGCAGTCCAGGGCCTCCCACCTCCCTGATGACCTTGGAGATTGGTTTCCAATGGATTTCCCAACTCTCAGCCAGTGCCTCCCCGCTAGAGGCCCCTGAGGGCCTTCACCAGTGGCAGTGCTGAGCTGACCACGAGCTGGCCTTGCATGGTGCCTATAGCAGGGCCCACTTTGCTGTACCCTGGGGACGTAGCTGCTGCGTTTAGCCGAGACTGAAAAGGAGGGTGTCGGGAACTGGACAGCAAGCCCACAAGAGACAGGTAGAAATGTGGTTGATCCTGGCTGCCCTGGAGGGAGACCACTTGGAGGGGTGCAGATAGGGACGCACTTCTTTCCCCAGGTGTGTTCCGTTGGCCAGCTCCTTGGGCCTGAGACTGCATGATGTGAATCCTGGTCCTTTGGTACCAGGGCTGGCTCAGGGAACATACCTTTTAGCTTGATAGAGCTTTCCCCTTCCAGCCAACAAAGGACTCCACGCCCTTTGTACATTCCCAAATAGAAAACACCCCCCAAGGACTGTAGACTAGCTATCTTCCTCTCCATCCATTTCCGTGTTCCTGATTATTGGGCTTAATTGGCTTCCAGAAAAGACAAGCCGTTGAACTACACACCTTTGTAGTGGTGAACTGAATATGCCCTTAACTAAAGATGCTTTTGGTGGGGCTGAGGCATCCTTAATGGATTTGCCCACTTTTAAATCAGTGGAGACTTGCTCCTACCTGGCAAGAAGTCACGGTGTGTGTGTGTGTGTGTGTGTGTGTGTTTGTTGTGGGTTGGTGGGGGCAGGGGGTGATGTGGGTGCTGTCCTGATGCCCAGGTGCTCCCTGGCTCATTCTCCTGACTGCCCCAGAGTTTCAAAGGTGCGTTCCTGCCTCAGGATAGTGGGCGTGGAGCAGCCACCTCTAGAACGACTGTCCCTGTGGGACTCTCCATACCCTCGGGTTGCTTTGCCTAGTTGTGGGGGTTCCTCTTGGCTTTGGAGGTAGGAGGGTGGCTGACCGTGACTATACATTCCGAACCACGGACCATTGCACCAGGGTAGACGTCACGTATCTCCAGACAAGCTACGTAACTGCTCTGTGCTTCGCCCACAGTGGATTAGACAAGGCCCCTTATTGGGCTAAGAGACAAGATGGCAGGGCTCTGGGTTCTGAGTTGCTACGGATGGACAAACTGACACCTTTTGAGAGAACCGCAGGCTTGGATTGCATGGCTCTGCTCAGAAGATGCACTTGAGGGGTATGGGCCAGGCTGCTGCCACCCTGCAGGTGACACATTGTCTCCCTTCTACGGCACCAGTTAGCCTGGCTGGAGCGGCTTCTCTCAGCTGTCCACTGCTTTCTCTTGGGTCTAAAGGCAGTTGCCCTTACCAGGGACCGTTTTGCTTCCTGTTTGTGTCTGCTTCTGCTGCCCTCGGACTGCACGCGAGCCATTCTCGCTGACAGAAAGCCAGAAACCTAATCACCTGCCATGCAGCTGCTTGCTCTAGCAAATGAATGAGAGATGGCATTACTGATTCCTCCCGTTACTCGGTCTTCTCCAAGGACCGGGAAATGATAAATGATCCCCGCAAGCTTAACTTTTCTTTCTAATGCTTGGTGTCCCCCGAGCCCAGGTAGATAGGGAAGGTAATTAACTCCCCAGTTGTCTTGTGCTTGAAAGAGTCCTCTGGCTGTGTAATCATTCGATTTGAATCAACTGTCTCATGAAACTAATCTGCATGCTTCCACAGGCATCACCCCTTCACATGGCTGTCCAGTGGTGCCCTCACAAGGTAGCTCGAGTTCTCCAGCCTCCTGGTTGGAATACAGTTAAAACCAGCGTCTTGGGCTTTGTCTGACCCCGGATTCCAGGGCTGCTCGGTCTGTCACCACGGCAGCCTTTGGAAAGACCTGGCTGAAGCCCAGCAAGTGCTCGCTGTGCGTGGAAGCTGGACAGGAAGCTAATCAGACAGCCATGTGGAGAGGGTGGGCCTGCTCCTTCCTATAAGCCGTAGCAGGAGGCAGTGTGGGCAAGCCCATTGCTAGGGAGTGGTGTGGACCCTGCCTGGGCATGTCTCCGCCCTGCATCTCCCGCTCTCCCGAATCGGAGACCAATGTGACCAGAAGGGAACTTCTCCAATCATAGGACTGATTTCCCTTGTCTTTGGGGGTGGGGGGGGGTGTTATCAAATTCTCCACACCTCTTGAATGGTCCACAGTTAACCACCCTGCCTCTGCGTCTGCATTGAAGGACAGAGTGAGCCAATTAACGTAAGGTGGCCTTGCTCTCTGATTAACCCCTCATTCTGTCTTTCCGTGTGTTGTCTCTCTTTGTTGTTGTTTTTCTCCCCCTCCTTCCTCCCTCCTCTTTTCCCGCTCTCCCTCCCCACACCTTACAGATAGCTCGGGAGGCTGAGGCAGCCATGTTCCATCGCAACCTGTTTGAAGAACTTGTGCGAGCCTCCAGTCACTCCAAAGACCTTATGGAGGCCATGGCCATGGGCAGCGTGGAGGCTTCTTATAAGTGTTTAGCGGCAGCTTTGATAGTTCTGACGGAGTCTGGCAGGTAGGGCCCCGAGGGCAGGTAATTGGTGTAAGGTGACCAGCCGCTTGCTCTTGCTGCTCCTGGAGAAGACAGCCAGGGTCCAGCCTTTTTCTCTCCTGCAGGAAGGGAGACAGCAGGGAGGTCGTGACAGGGCAGGACCACAGGGTCCTTTGGTTGGCTTGGCCCAGCCAGGTGTCAGGTACCTGGTGAAGGATGGGGCCCTGTGAGGCCTGATGTTGCTCAGTGACTGGTGTCTCCTGGACCTTTGGACCAGGGGCCGTGTTCCTCACCAGCTGCCTGTGCCTCCTCCCCATTCCCCATGCAGCTCTGACGAAGCTCTGTCCCCCTCCCGTCCCTCTGGACGGTGTCGCCCCTCCTCCCCCAGATTGCCCGTGAGGCAGAGGCTGCCATCTACCACTTGCAATTGTTCGAGGAGCTCCGCCGCCTGGCGCCCATTACCAGCGACCCCACAGAAGCCGCCGCCGTGGGCGCCGTGGAGGCCTCGTTCAAGTGCTGCAGTGGGGCCATAATCGTCCTCACCAAGTCTGGCAGGTAGGAGGAGGCTGCAGCCCCCAGGGTGCCCTGCTCACTGGCACCTCACCACGGGCTTCCAGGAGCAATGTGCTGGACACGGCTGGGGTGGTGCTGAGCCAAGGTAAGAGCCTGGACCCCATGGGACAGGTGCGTCCTTGGCCCCCAACTGGGCTCCAGGCGTGAGCAGGGCTCCAGGCAGCTGCTACCAGTGAGGCCCAGCAGGATTGTTTGGATGCAAAACCAGCCTAGAGCTTCCCACTGAATTGGTCTCCTTGCCTAAAGACTGATAGGTTGGTCGCTGACAGTCTTCTGATATTTTAAGAGCTGACCCTCTGAATGATAGAAAGCAACCAGTTTGAACTCAGTGAAGTTACTAAAGGTACGAGGTGCCCTTGGAACATGAATGCTACGTGCTGTCCCACCTCTACCCCATGATGGTGTACTATAGACAACAAGTGGGTTCGGCCTGGAAAGGTCAGCGGTTGTCTTCCTGGCTCATTGTCTGAGGACTGCTTGGCCTCGGAATTGGGGTCCTTCCTAGCCGGAGATACAGAGCTCGTTGTGGCTCTCCCACCCTGTGCTCCAGGGAGCGTGCACCTCAGCCTGCCCGGGGCTGGGGGGAAGGGAGCGGGAGAGGACACTGGGCAGTCCTTGTGCTGGGGAGCAGCAGCAGCAGTGGGGCAGCCAGCAGATTTCTTTCACGGAAGACTAGTCCGAACCCTTCTAACCATTTGAGGCTGACCTTTGTAGAAAAGGCCCAACCTTTGCTCTTTGGGTATTTTTAGCTCTAGTCTTCTGGGATTTCACTCTCAGCTGGTCCTGACTTCAGCAACTGCTTAAAGGCCAGGCCTCAAGGCAGGGCATGCTCGGCTATGACACAGCTTAAGTTTCCCTGGTGTCTGTTGAGTGCCCCTAGCGCCTGCTTTCAAGGGTCCTGTTCCTTCTGCAAGTCCCTCCCTGCTCCTACGAGAAGCCAGGCACACACTTTAGGGTCCACTGTCCGGTGGTCCAGGAAGCAGCTGGCAGATGGCGTCCAGGGGGGAGGAGTCCCTGCCTCACTGGCTGGTGCCATTCCCACACTGCACAGCCGCCTCTTGGGTAACACCCAGACTGCCAAGTCTCATTCAGATGCCCAGGCTTAAATATGGGCCTCCAGAGCTTAGTTGCTGGGAATGTTTCAAGGACTTGGGGGACATGTTGAGTGGCGAGAGTCCCTGGAGGCTGGCCGGCCCTGCTCCCATTCTTTGCGGATGCCCAATCAGGTGCTGTTCACATGCTTGAATTGTAGCTGAGGCTGGCAGCAAGAGGCATGGGTGCTGGTGTGGTGGGGCCGTGCCCATGCTCCTCCCTGTGCCAGAATGGAGAAGGGGCAGTGGGAGGGGGAGGGGGTCAGCTGACCATGGGCCAAGGGGCGCATGGCTCACCATGCTGTATCAGGATGGTCCAGGGGCCATGGCCTGGGGAAAAGTGGGGAGGGCAAGCATGTAGCTTCGACTGCAGGCGAGTTGGATACAGGGCAAGTAGGTAGTCAGGGGAGCTGAGCTAGGAATGGCCTAGTGGCGGGTTGGGTTACTGCAGTGGTTATCAACCTTCATGTCATGCTGCGACCCTTTCATACAGTTCCTCATGTTGTGGTGACCTCCTAACCGTAACATTCTTTTCGTTGCTACTTCATAACTAATTTTGCTACTGTTATGAATCTGGTGACCCCTGTGAAAGGGTCGTCCAACCCCCAAAGGGGTTAGGACCCCCAGGTTGAGAACCGCTGGGTTAGAGGATGGCTGGGGTTTAAAGCAAAGCTGGTTAGGGATTGAGGGGCATCCAAGGGGCTTCTGCAACACTGTTGGATGGTCTCTTTCCTTGTCCCCATCCTGTGCCAGGTCTGCTCACCAGGTGGCCAGATACCGCCCACGCGCCCCCATCATTGCTGTGACCCGGAATCCCCAGACGGCTCGGCAGGCCCACCTGTACCGTGGCATCTTTCCTGTCCTGTGTAAGGACCAAGTCGTGTCGGCTTGGGCTGAGGATGTGGACCTCCGGGTGAACCTGGCCATGAATGTCGGTGCGTACCTGGGAGCGAGGGCCTCACCGAACTGACACTTAGCGGGATGGACATGAGGGGACATACGGACCTAGGAGCATAGGGAACCCTATCTGCCCAAGCCTTGCCCTGTCTGGGACCCATCTCTGAATTCTCCCTCCCAGCGCCGGAAGTCCTGGTGCCAAGGCCGGGCCTTGGAGTTGGGCTCAGCAGCTTAGTGCCTCTCTTCACACCTAGTGTAGGCCCTACAGCAAAACCAAACCAAATTCACTGCCATCGAGTCAATGCCAACTCATAGCAACCCTACAGGACAAGGTAGAACTGTCCCTGTGGGTTCCAAAATTCTGTTACAGGGAGTGGAGAGCCCTGTCTCTCCCCTGGAGCTGCTTGTGGTTTTGAACTGCTGACCTTGTGGCTCACAGTTCCACTTGTAACCAGAGAGAGCGTACACTCTTCCTTTGGCATCTTCCTGAGAATAAGATTGGCCAACGCTCCTGCTCTAGAGTATATGGGCTGTGGCTTTTGGCCCTGTGTAAGTGCAGAATGGCACTGGATGAGAAGCAGCAGGGCACTGGATGAGAAGCAGCAGCTAGCTCTGACTTGGGGCAAGGCCCTCCACCCCCTGGGGCATAAAATGAAGTCCAAAGGTCCCTGCCACTTCTGCCATCTGCACCCTAAGTCTTAGCTTCCTTTAGCCTCTTGGCCTGGGCTGTGAGGCTGGCGCCACCTTGTGGCTGAAGGAAGTAATGTTCCAGCAGCACTGCCTCACCTTGCAGCTGTAGAGCTAGTAGCCCAGGTGCTGCTGGACTTTGACTCTTTTTTCTTCCTACAGGCAAAGCCCGGGGCTTCTTTAAGACTGGCGACGTAGTCATCGTGCTGACCGGGTGGCGCCCTGGCTCCGGCTTTACCAACACCATGCGCGTAGTGCCTGTGCCTTGATGGGCCCTGGGACCCCTCTAGCCCCTGCCCCATCCCCTCCCCCAACCCACCCATTAGGCCAGCAACACTTGTAGTGCTTCCTCGGGGCTAGTATGGCGTCCATGGGCTGGGGCTCCAGGGAAGGGAGTGGAAAGTCCCTGGTGCCACATGGCCCTGCTGGGTGGGGATTGTCCAGAGCCTGGTCACCCATCCTGTGGCACTACCCAAGCCAGGGAAGAATGAGGGCTGCGGGACCCGAGGCTCAGTGATGATTGAATGCAAGAGGTCAACAAGCTCCCTCCCTTTGTGTGCTCCGTTCAGCGCCTGTGGAACATGGGTGTCTAGAGAATGCCCGCCCTGGCCTGGGAACAGCAGACAGCAAGAGCCAGATGCCTGAGGGTGGCGGGGTAGCAGTGGCTCCAGTGCAAGCAGACTCTGACCCTGGCCCTGAACTTGCTCCCCCAGCCTCTCAGTCTCCCCCGTTCCCACGTGTTACTTGTGCATTGGACAGGAGTTCCTGCGCTCTCCTCAGCTGTCAAAAACACTTGTGCAGACAAAAACACTCCACCACCTTCCATTCTTCCCCCACCCCTGCTGCAGCCACCTCCAGGCCTGTTGCTATAGAGCCTACCTGTATGTCAATAAACAACAGCTGAAGCACCTGTTTCCTCTTTTTTTTTTTGCTGGGGAGGTTTATCCCTGCCCTCTGAGCAGGTGGGGGGCTGGTGCTAGCTGTCTACTGGGGTGGTTAGCCTGCCTGCCATCTAGGATGTGGGTGCAGGTATCCTTGGGAAAAAGCTGCCCTTTTGGGTGTGCCTAGGTCCCCCTTCAGTCCCTGGCATGGTGTTAAAGCTGTGTCTTTAAAAGCTCTGCAGGTGGGGAGATGTTAATGGTTTATGTCAGCAGTTCTCAACCTGTGGGTCACGACCCCTTTGGGAGTGAACAACCCTTTCACAGGTCACCTAAGGCCATTGGAAAACACAAGTATCCCACAATATATAATTACATATTTTGTGATTAATCACTGCTTTATGTTCAAGTTTTAACAATGAAAATACATCCTACCTATCATATTTGCAATTCATAACAGCAAAATTTAAGTTACGAGGTAACTGTTTTGTGGTTGGGGGTCACCACAATGTGAACTGTATGAAGAACGTTGAGAACAGTTTATGTGGACAAGATAGGAAGGCAGGGCAATGGGTAACCTCGTGGTCCTAGCCCTACCCCTGTCAGGTCTTTATGCCACAGCAGGCTTGTTAGGAAGCTAGGGGGAAAGGCCCCTGTCTCAAAATCTGATGTGGGGGGCACTGAATATGGAGTCTGCTTTCAGAAATCAGGGACCTGAGTTCCCCTTGGGCCGTGCTGTTTGCTCAAGTCCTCCATTGTGGGTAGCAGGGCTGAGAGTGGACTGAAGCTGGCTGTATCATTTCCCCAGTACAGTGGTAGGCAAGCTGAGGAATAAGGTCATCAGCCTCATTCTCAAGGCCCGGTTGGATCCAGCTTCTTGTCCCACCCCCAGGGCCTCCTCCCTGTAATCACTGAGCTATCTACTGGTTTGCACCACCTTTAATTTCTGACCCTTTGGGGCCTTCTGCAAATGCTTCCAAAAGCTTTAGAAACCAACCCCCCTCCCCCCCAAAAAAGTTTGTAACTTAGGCGAAGGTTTACCTTTAATGTACACCCATATCCTCACAGCTCTACTTTCCAGCCCCTCACATACCACTCCAATGTTTCATGCTGCCAGTCCTCCAAAAGCTTTTTGGCTTGGGGGGGCGTCCCACTCTCTTAGTGACCAACTTTTGATTATTCACAATCTGGCGTGGGCTCTGACCAGCTTTTTGATTATTCACAATCTGGGGTGGGCTCACTGTCTTGCTTCTGGGGCACAGAAGGTTGGCGTGTCTAGAGGAGGCCGGAATGGGTTACTACTGGCATGGGGAGGCGCCACTGAGCAGTTTTTATTCCCCATCACCTGCCGTGAGATCTGTCTGCCAATGTACTACTTCCTGATTGGAGCACCTGCAGGGTCCCAGGCTGGCTGAATGTAGACAGGAAAATTCAAAACGAAACCTGGAGACATCACAGACCAGTTTTCATCAGTGCAAGCAACAGAGGTGCGGCTGTCCTTTTCAGGTTGTGCGATGAATTGAATGAACGAGTTTGACTTGTATGCCTGGGCTGATACGGCGGGAGAG